CCCTTAATATTAGATTATAATAATCTATTTTAAGTTATAAATACTTTATAGTTATTATATAATTATATAATATTATTATTTTAATACTTATAACTTTTCTTTTATTAATTATATTTACCTTTATATTAGCTAATTAGATAGTACTACTTATTAGTTATAATAGCTTTACCTTTATTTAACTAGTAGTTATATATAAAGTTATTTCTTAAGTAGATAAAACTTTATACTTACTTATCTCTAAGAAAAAACTTACTAAGCTAATTAAATTATCTTCTTTTATATATACTTACTTTTCTTTTATATATAGTAAAGTCTTTACTTTAGATAGACTTCTTTTTATATTTATCTTTTTATATATTTCTTTTTTACCTTTATATAAGTATTATAATTAGTAGCCTCTTTTCTTTTCCTTATAAATATCTTCTACTTCTTTTTCTTTTTTCTTTTCTTTTTACCTTTTTTTCTTTTTATACTACTTTCTTATTTTTTATGTAATTTTATTAAATTAACTATTTATTTCTTCTTAATAACTTCTTATAACCTTTTATTAATTATATACCTTCTTGCTTTATATAATAAGATTTCTTCTTATTAAGTACTTTCTTTTAGATTTTTTATATATTTAATTCTTTTCTAATTTAGCTATCTAGTTACTAACTTATATAAGTAACTTATTATATAATTATTATAATATCTTTTAGTAGTTATACTTTTTCTTATAGACTCTTAAATATCTATATAAATACTAATAAAGTTTATTAGCTTAATATCTTATATATCTTTAATTAGGTTATTATATAGGCCTTATTTACTAATATATATTATATATTTCTTAACTTCTTTTTATACACTAATTCTTTAGTAAGACATAAAGTTTAATACTTTTAGTTATACTAGCTATAATATTATAGTTTATATAACTTTAGGTATAAATCTTTTTTACTTTATAATAACTATTCTTTATTAACTATTATACTTTTATATAATTATTATCTAGTCTTATAGTAATATTATATAAGACTATATATCTAAGTATATCTAAATTACCTAATACTACTTTTAGTAGTATATATATATATATATACTAAAATAGTACTTATACTAATATATATATATAGTAAGTTATATATTATAGTAAGTTATATATATCTACTTACTTTTCTATTATTTTAAAAAGTCTATTTAACTAGATTATATAAAATTAATTAAAAATATATATTACTTTATTCTTTATTACTATCTTAAACTACCTTATAGGTTTATATATTATATTTAGTTTTTTTTATAATTACTATATTATTACATAACTAGTTTACTATTCTTTATATAAACTTCTTTTTAGGATATATCCTTACTTCTAGCTTTAACTACTTTTTTTCTCTTTATAGTGCCTCTACTTTAGCTATATTAAGTAATATTTTAAGACGTAGTTAGGTCTTTTTAGCCCTCTAGTACTTACTAAGTACCTTTATCTCTATATAAAGTTAATAGTTCTCTACCTTAATAATAATTAGTTAATATACTAACTTACTAATACCTTTTAACTCTAAGTTAATTACTTTATATATTAGTATTAGTAAACTTCTTTAATAGTTCTTAATCTTTTTTTTAATAAAGTAAAGCTTTATATACTTTTAATTACTATTATTAGTGTCTTTAGGGCCTATAAGCCTAAGCTAGTTAGACATAAGTTTACTAGTGTTAGTGTTTTTAGCTTAAAATCTAACTAAAAAATAATAACTTTAGGATTAAAAGGTATAAGACTAGCCTATTAAAAACCTATTTATATATTTATTTTACTTATTAAAGTAAAAATATTACTTTAAAAGTAAAAAAAAGTTATCCTTAGTAATATATAAAATCTATATTTATATTATTTTCTTAATTCTTTTTACTATATAAGTACTTTAAAGGGCTAAAATAGCTAATATTAAGAGGCTAAAGCTTATATAATAAATAAAGAGGTATATATAAAGTAATAATTTTTTATTTTTTATAAAAGTTATTAAATTTAGTTAATTTATAGCTATTATAGCTATTAAGAATTAAAAGTTAATAAGTACTTTTTATATAAGACTTTATATACTAAGTAAAATAATCTAACTAATTTAAGCTAATCTTATTTATAGTCTATTTATTTTTACTTAAGTAAATATACTATATAGCTAGAAATTTACTATTAAGGTACTATAATAAAAGGTAATATTTACTTTTTATAATAATATATAAAGGTATTACTTAGCTATTTATATATATACCTTAAATAATAAAAACCTATTTATAATTACTAGGCTACTTTATACACGTAGATCCTCATACAGATGGAACCCTACAAGTTATAACATTATGTTTATTAAAAACCCCGCCAACGCAATCGTCGGTTACTTCTTTAAAGGCTGGACTCCTGTGTGATCAAAAGTTCTACCGGCCACGAGTTATCACCTGGTGGCCCGACTGAGTCGATGTGCTCGTGAGAGGGATTCGATCGTTCAGCTAACGATATCAGGGAAGTAACATTGGGTGAACCCGTCCTATAGCGGCCGCCTCAGTGCGACTCGATCCCCCACACTGGAATTTTTACTTAAGTAAATATACTATATAGCTAGAAATTTACTATTAAGGTACTATAATAAAAGGTAATATTTACTTTTTATAATAATATATAAAGGTATTACTTAGCTATTTATATATATACCTTAAATAATAAAAACCTATTTATAATTACTAGGCTACTTTATATAAGGCCTTTTATATTAGTTAAAAGTTATAATAACCTTTATATATAACATTATGTTTATTAAAAAGCTAGTCTTATTAAATTATAAATATTATAATCTTATATCTTATACTTTATAATTATATTTTATATAAGTATAAACTAGCCTTATATAAATATAAAACTTTTAGCTAAGGCCTTTTAATAGTTAATTTAATATTAAAATTATATTTTTAATTAAAGTTATTACTATATAAAGTTCTTTACTTATTAGGGTCTAATATATATCTTATTATATATATTAAGAAGTTAATTAGCTATTTCTTATATATCTTCTTATTATAAAGAAAACCCTTAATTAATTAGGTTAATAATCTTTTTAAGAATTACCTCCTCTTTAGATATAGTTATCTTTATTAAATTTATATATATTTTACGTTATACTTTTTAGCTAGCGCGTTAGTTATAGAGTGTAGATTTAGGCACGTAGCAGATAAAGGCTGCCTTTTATATAGATAGTTTTAGGTCTTTTTAAATAGCTATAAATATAAGAATAATCTAGGTTATAAAGAGAGGATTCTATTATTATATATAAAGTAAAATTAGTTTAAAAATAAAGATAGTAGAAATAAGATATATATATATAACTTACTATAATATATAACTTACTATATATATATATTAGCTATACTAAGAAGTAGTAATAAATTAAATTACTATTAAATATAAGAAGTTTACTAAATTAATAGCTAGTAAATTAATAAAAACACTTAGTATATTATAATTTACTATATTTATAACTAAATTAAATATAAGTAGCTAATATATATAACTTAAAGTAAATTAATAATAAGAATTAGCTAATAATAAAGTAAAGCTTTACTACTAAATAAAAAAAGAAAATATATAAGATATTAAAGAATAATTAATAAATAAATAGGCTATAAATAAAGAATATTTAGTATAAGTGCTATAGTAATTAATTATATTACTAGTACTAAGAGGGTATATTATATATAGTAAAATTATATATAAATTAGCTAGTAAATATATAGTTACCCTATAGTAAATTGTTAGGGAATAGGCAGTAAATTAGCCTTACTTTTAGGGGTAACTTTACTAATAATATTACTAGGATTAGCTAGGGATTTCCTAACTAAGAAATAGGGGGTTTTCCCTGTTTCTACGGGATTCCACCATAGTTACACAACACATAACAGAATCAATTAATCAACCATTATAATCCCTACGATTTAACAGTACCTGCCTCACGCCATGTCACACTCTACCACCTGATATGTTTGTTCCTGTCTCCGGACCTGGGCCCAAAAGCGCACGTAGTCTGCAGCATGTAGCACAGCGCCCTTTGACATTTCCCTGAATCTATCCCAGTGGCGGTGGACGCTACAGCTTAGAAGGGGTGCACTTCGCCCGGAGTCACAGATCTGGTGACGGATTATGGTGCAGACCAACAGGCATTTGTGTCCCTGCAAGATTGGATAGAGGATGCGCTTTGTGGCGCACCCACATGGTGTGGCGGTACATGCGTACATGGTGGCTGCCGCAGCTAGCCCCACACGCGCTGAGGCACAAAGGTACTTCAAGTCTAGTACTGGGCAGGTACCTGTAGATAATAGGCCGCGCAGCTGGGGCAGCAAATCCGAGTGGGGCGACTGTCGGTCACCCATTGATGGACTATCCCAATCGAACTAGTCAGCCAAAGTCGCTCACGCCAATGTGCCTTAATGGCACGTGGCCGCTAATGGTGGCGGTGCCAACTTTGCCTGCCAAGTGGGTGCTGGCAGGGCGGCTGGGCGGGTAGGGCCTTGTCAGTGAGCCTCTTGGCGCTAAAACCGACAGGGCCCCACTGATGTGATGTACCTGTACACAGTACTACGTACAGTGGCTAGTCACATGGGGCGTCGCGTCGCGCTTCAAGAGTTGCTCAGTCAACTCATTGCACGGACAGCAGCACGACAGCACAAACTTGTGGCATCAAGACAGCTTGCATCTCTCTGTCTTTTGATCCCAGACAAACAGAGACTGTCAGTGCCTGCCTGCCTGCCTGCCTTGTGTGTGCTCTATATATCTGTAGGTTGGTTGACACGGAAAGTCGTTAGTCTGTCTCACTCACACAGTTTCGCCGTCACCCTCACTCATCATCTCACCACATCTCTCTCACATGCCGCCAAATGCCGCCTCATCTTACCATCTCTCGCTAGCGCCCCGCAACTGCCCTCTGCCAACAACCAACCGGCCAGCCATAGCCATAGCCATAGTAGCAATGGTGGCCGACGGATCAACAACCTTGGCACCCGCCGGTCGGCACCCACGTGATCATTTTACCGCCCTTCGCTTTTTGACTCGCATCCCGCGCCTTGTACCCGAGCATGACGCGGATGACAATGACAATGACGATGACGACGACGACGACGACGACGACGACAATAATGATGATAATACACGCCACAACCTCACGCAGCTCCAGCCCATCGAGCTATGTTTCCATCAAGACTTTATCGCCGACCCCGACGACCCCGTCTCGCTACATCTCGCAGGCCATCATCCTCGGCGCATCATCCAGTACCATGGCCCCATCGAGCTGCCATTACCTGCGCCACCGTCTTCCATCCACGAGATTGACGACATCCTCGACCTGACACTCCTCCCCGATAACGATCCTTCCCGGCGTTGCCAAAGCTTCAGCCCAAGCCTGACGTCCGACCCGAGCCCGGGCCCGAGCCCGAGCCTGAACCTTGGCATTGGCACCCCGACCCAGCGGCGGCGCCGCATCGTCTTCTACATTTCTTGCGGGTTTCTTCTAGGCCTTTGGGCCCATCAACTCTTCCGGGGCTCAGCTGCTGCCGCATCTTACACGGCCCCCGACGGCAGTCTCTACAACATCCGCTTCAACGAAACCACCGTATCACTTGGTCTGCATCGCACAATCACCCTTCTGGAACAGGAGCGCTTATCCCTTAGCTACATGATGGTTGATGCTCTCAAGGATCCTGACGAAACCTTCCTCCAAGACCTAGACAGACTCGTCAACCACATATGCCGCAACGCCACCATTCTATTGGCGCAGGACGGCAAAAACAAACCCTGGAAAAGACCCGCAGCCACTGCCGGTCGCGACCCGGCCGATCATCTGCATCTTAACATGAAACTTGCGTGCCAGCTGCTGAACCGCCACATCGGCAAGTTGGAAATCTTGTGGGGGCCCCTCGCAGTCAGGGTGTCTGGCTCTGGCTCGCAACTCAACCGCCTGCGCTTGACTGTGAGGCATCTGAGCGAGGCATACAACGCCCCTTCCTTTCTCCGCGCCTTTCGACACGCTCTCTCCAACAGCCTAAACGATTGGGTGGATGCCGCGTGTCATTTATGCCCGTCAGCGCCCGCGTCGTCCTCGTCGTCGTCGTCATCTGCTGAAGGCACTCTTCTTGGGCACTTTGCTTGCGACGCGTCGTTTGCTGCGCTCTCGGGCCTTCTGCACCAGCCGCTGACTGCTTCTTCCTTGGTCAACTTTCTCATATCCTGGGGCCAGGGGCAGTCGGCACGCCGTTATGCCACGTTCAACAAACAGAAAGGGAGCGAAACGGTGGAATCGTTCCTCCAGGCCGGCAACATGGCGGCGCCATCCATGGCAGCCGAGGGCGAGCTCGTGGCTCTGTTGCGCCACGTCGTCGAACTCTTTACTGGCATCTCCGACCTGACCAGGCTTGCATCTCAAACAACGCTCCAGGCCGCCGCAGCTGCTGCAGCAGATGGGGAACTGTCATCGGGCCGCGACAACAGGGAACGGCTGTGGTTTCAGGGCACATTTCAGTGGTGGCAGCCCGGCGCATCACCCTCTGCGCCCGCAACGAGGCATATTCTGAGAACCCACGCCTTTATCCAGAACATCTACAGGGACATGGAAGAGCTTGTCCGTCTGCAGGATGCAGTTATCAGGCCAAAGTTGCAAATGCTAGCTCCTGCTGTAGCTAATGCAATACAAATGTGCACCATGGTCTCCGACTTTAACAACCTTCTTGACGCGCTTGACAGTGGCCTCGGGTGGAATACATCTACATTGCACCTCATTAGCAGCGGCTCGCATTCTGAGCCAGCATCCATCGAGGTAACGCGTACTTCTTATGTAGAGGACATCAACGGTGAGATTGCTGCGCTCAAAGCCGAGGAAGCAGAGCTTCAGTCCGTCCAGCAGCCGAAAAACACTAACCTGGGCGGGGGTAATGGGGAGCGTTCTAGAGGGGTTCCGGAGGGTTCGGAGGTTCCGGAGCCGCAGAACGACGAGGAGAGGCGGTTTCTTGAGCGGCTGCAGCAGGGACAGGCACATCGTCGAGCAGCCGTCCAGGGGCTGATGAACGCGTTTGGTCTCGGGAACCCCCTCACCACAGCGGCGACCACAGCGGCGGCCTCAGCCAGGACCGTGCTGACAATGATATAGATTGGGTGACGAATTCTACGGGATGGCAACTTGTGCATGCAGCATACGACACTTTGTTGTACTTTGTTAATTTGTATGGGAACTAGTTATGATGTCCATATGGAGACAGTCACTCCTTTCCGCTCCTCATTCCCTGCGGCCCTGGTGGCCTCCTCCTCCTCCTCCTTCTCCTCCTCCTCCCCCTTTGCCCTGCCAGGCCTGCCGTTCTTCTTCACCGCCCACGTACCCACACACACGCACACTCCGTGAGGAAGAGACAACACGTCTGGCCAGACCGTGTTGAATCGCCCTCCCGGGTGTGTGTGTGTTTGCGTGTAGTAGAGGCGGGTTTCCAAGCCAACACGCACTTACACACACGCACACCCCAAGAGGAAGAGACAACACGTCTGGCCAGACCGTGTCGAACCGCCCTCCCGGATGTGTTTGTGTGTGTGTGTGTGCGTGTGTGGTGGAGGCGGGTTTCCAGGCCAACCCAGCAACCCTCTCGCAAAACCCCCCCGCAGATGTCTGGCCAGACCATCAACAGGAGGTTTGCTTGAAGACGCCGCCAGGTGGTCCGTGGAACAGTCCCTTGGTGGGTTGCCCCGGAGGGCATCCCAGGCCCGCTATGCCATGCATTTGACATGCGACGGGCGTGTGGCTGGAGACGGAGATGTGTGGGTGTGTGCGTGTGTTTGCGCCCACATGATGGAACGACCTTTGAAGGGTTCTCTCCGTCTCCAGCCATCCTCCTCCCGCCGATCCCTCCCCTCTCGGTTTCTTCCGTCACACACAGACACACACACACATGAAAGAAGACTCTGCAGGTCGTCGACTCAGCGATCAACCACCGTGTATCGAGCAAGATCCTGCCTGCTACACCCTTGTGTCGGCCGCCGCGCGCTAGCGGACCGACAAAGTGGAAGTGGATGAGGGGGCGCAGGAGGAGCCGCGACTGGACAGCGGTGGCGAGCGAGCGACGACGCGAGACTTGAGGTGTGTGTTTGTGTGTGTGGAAGTAGAGTGGTAAGATGAGGGGGTTCCTTTGGGCAAGGCTTGGTGGGTTGTTTGTTTGTTTGCTTGCTTGGCGGGAGAGGAGGGGTTTTGTTTTGATAATGGTGCGGTGTGGTTTGGTCTGGTTTGGTGTGGTGTGGTGAGGTCTGCAGAGGGCCAAGATGGGCCCAAGTTTCCAAGTAGAAGAGGCTTTCCCAAGTAGCTTCCGAGATAGATCTCAAAGGCTGAGCTTTGATGAAAAGAAAATGTTTGTTTGTTTGCTTGTGGAGGTTGCAAAGGTTGTGAAGCAGACACACACACACAGACGCACACAAGAGGGGAAGTAGGAGAGAGAGAGATTTTACTCTCAGCCACGGGAGATGGTGGTTATATCTTTCTTCCATCGTGGGTCGCCTCATCCTCTGCTGCTCTCTCCCAACATCCACCGCCTTCTTGTCTGACTTCTTCCTGCCGCCCACCGCTGGCAAGTCTCACTAGATGCCCAACCGCAGCCCAGGCGTGCGTCTCGCGAATGGCGGCGGTCAACCAGGACGAGACCAGATCACGACTGGTGTTCTTTCATCTCTGTCTCAAAGAGTGACTGCTCTGCTGCTCTCTCCCAGCATCCACCGCCTTCTTGTCTGACTTCTGACTTCTGGCTGTCGCCTATCGCCAGCAAGTCTCACTGGATGCTCAATCGCAGCCCAGACGTGTCTCTCAATTGGCGGTCAACCAGGGCGAGACCAGATTACGGCTGGTGTTCTTTCAATTCTGTCTCGAAGAGTGACTGCTCGGTTGGTGGTGATGCACCTATGGCCCATGTGGCCAACTCTTGTAGCTCAGTGCCCCACCGGTTCGGATCGGGCAGCTTTGGCAGACCAATGGCTAACGAGGACCACGCGGTCTGGAACATGGTTCTGCAGCGGTTCCTGGATCGAGTGAATCAGACCAGAGCGACGTGGTCCCCGCAGCGGCAGAGGGCGGTGTTTCCTCCACTGGTTCGTCGTAGGAACAGGTGGATCGGACGGGCAATTGCAACGTCGGCAACCAACTTTCTGTCTCTGCCATGTGGAGAATCTCTTTTGCAATTTGTCGCTTATGAGACCCCTGACCGGTTCGTTCGCCTGGCTGTCTAAGCCGTCCCCGAGACAGACGGAGATGAAGACGGAGACCTACCGAGACAGAGACAGATGGGCACATGGGCACGGACGACAGTACCGCATTACAGCCACCGCCGCTGCCACCGCCGCTGCCACATCCGCTGCCACATTCGCTGCCGCTGCCACAATCACATCCGAGCTGCCGCCAACATTTGCATTGCTGGCACCAGGGGTCGTGGGCATGCGACAATAGGCAATGGGCACCTCGGGTTAGCTGGGCATGGCTGGCTGCGGATCAACGTTCAGCGACAAACCTGAGTTAGGCACATTTCCTCACGAGACAGCATGTAAAATAGCCCGGGACATCTTTCGCTAAACGTGTTGCGCATAGATACAGTGAGGAAATGTTTTATTGATTATTCCTTCACGTCCAAGGCCCGACTCCCAAGGTACTGTACATGATAGATCTAGATCCCAGCCCCCCTCCATCATCCATTTATCACTTCAGGCGATTCCCTTGTTGCGTTGTTGACGCTGTTGTTGTTGTTGTTGTTGCCTCTCGATCCCTGCCCGCGACGACGCGTGGACCTTTTACCGCCGCTGTGGGCGTGGATTTCGGAAAATCTCCACCGCTCCTCTTCCCCGCCGCCGCCAGCCTCGCCGCCGCCAGCCTCGTTACGCCTGGGCGTTCGAGGTGACTGCAACGGCGGGGCTGGGGCTTTAGCGGGCTCGGCCGTCCCTGACAACCGCTCCTTGTCCGTGTCCTCGATGCCCTCCTCACTCATACTGTCCATGCCGACCAATACCTGCATCATCTCGACCTTCAGGTCCTCCAGCCCCATCAGGTGAGTGGATGCTTCCTTTGCAGCTGCCTTGTATTGTTCCCACGTCTCTTGGTACGCGGTGAAGAGGACGTCGTAATCGGCCCGGAGCTTCTTCTCGGTCGCTTCTCGACCGGCCGATCGTCTCGAGGGGGTGACTGTCGGCAACCGGGGCTGGTGTGACGATGACGGGGGCGGGGTGCGTGGCGCCAGAGCGGCGGGGGTAGGCAACCGCGATGGACGGGCTAGGTCGGGTGTCTGGGGGAAAGCTGGAAAGGGAGGAGGCATGCATGTCAGCAGATGGACTTCAAGACAGGGAGAAGACGCAAAGATACGACGTGTAGGGCCCCCACGTTGTTGGAGAAGACTGTGACGTTGGAGAACGGCGTCACGTGCCGCCTCGGCCACAGCTTGAGCCTCATCATCAACCACCTTGTTGTACCGCTGTTGCCAGAGTCGGGATTCTGATTCGAGATGCTCCAAGAAGGGAGCTTGACGCTGGCTGGCCTTGCGCTGGATGAGGGCTGGGTTGATCTGACTCTCACGCGATGGGATGGTATCCCAGTCGGTAAGATCTGAAGGCGGCGGCAGGAGACGACTGGTGGTGCTGCGCCTTGTGTTGAAAAAGGGGTTCGTTGGTGAAAAAGATGTGAAGGTTCTGTTGGTCTCGTTCGCATGGTGGTCAAGAGAGGAGGCAGCGGTGCTAGCGGTAGGGCTTTTAACATTGAACCGCTCGACAAACCTGTAGAAAGCGTCTTGAAGAGACTCCGGCACTTCGTGGCCAGCCTCCCTCTTCAAGACGCCATCAAAGTAGGCGTCAAGGCTGTCGATGCGGGGGTTTGCCATAGCTCAAGGCTAAAGGATGAAAGAGGAGAGCATTTTGGAGAAGGGAGAGAGCGAAGGACGAGGCACCGACAGAAAAGAAGAGACAGCGTGGACAGGAAGTTCGTTTGTATGTAGTTGCAGGAAGATTAGGGTCCACTAGAGATCCTCAGTATCCGTACGGATACGCTTCCATGGAAAGAGGGTCCCGGAGGGGTGGAGACTGGGGAGCATATATCCGTAGGTACCGTATGTACCCTTGGCGGGATGTGCCCCTTTGACGAATAATGCTGTTGCAGAATACAACAGACTTTTACATCTAAAAGAGTTATGGAGTTAGTGAGGCTACAAGGGAGTACCTACTTACTGGCGTGTGGAGCAGAGACAGTGGCGCTAATCAAAGTCGATACCTAGCGCAGGGACTTCACAGGTGGGATGGGATGGCAGGTGGCACGGTGGGTGGGTGGTCCTGGTCGTCCAGGATGTACAAGTACGTGCCCCCTTGGGTCAGTTGCCTAGGTACCTAGACAAGACCCTGTCGATCTTTGCTCCTAGGGAAAAGATCGACAGAGACCCACTCTGGACTGCTGGAAAGCACTGATGCTGATGCAACACACAAACAGACCCACCTACCCTGGCACACCTAGCACCAGGTACACCTCCTCCTACCTCGACAAAATCCGTCGCTGCCTCACCGAGGATACGTCATCAATATGCTCGCGGCATCATTGTCCGCGAGGCCCTGTCGGTCCGCAGTAGACCCGGTACATGTACCAAGGTACCATTCAGCACAGCGGAACCACTTTTTGTTTGCTTTGCTGATCATTTGAGCTACCAAGACCACCCAGACAGACACATCACACATCCCGCGTGGCCTTCCAGAACGTTGCCGAACCCGCAAACCAAATACTGTGTGGCCCAACCGTCGTCGGCCCAGCCATCGTCATCCTCGGGGTCACGCCGTGTGCCATCCATCTCCTCGTCCTCGCACCACACATCAGCCCGTCTGCCATGCGTCCATCAACCTCGCTTTCGAGATTCAGTTACAGACGTCCCAGCTCCCATGCCATCCGAACCATGGCCCCTCGCTCCTCGCGAGCCCAAAAAGCCCCCAACCGGATGTGCAACGGTAACAACATAATCCTTCCCTCAAGCCCAGGCCTTCTTCATCCCTAGAGATTGCCGCTGACAGTCCTCTCTCTCTCGATCCGTAGACCCGATCCTCCTACTTGTTCCGCGGCCGCACCCTTGGCGAAATCATTTCTTGCAGCCCCAGCCCGAAAGTCACCTGGCGCCCCTCAGACCAGCTCATCATGAAGTCGTTCCTGGCTTTCTACCGCCTCTCCATCCCTGCGATCCGCTCTATGGCTGCTGGCCCCACAACCGTCAAGTCACGCCAGCGTATCCTGAACGAGTCTTCCAGTGACAGCAAACCCTGCCCGACCCTTGTTGAGCTTGCTGCCAAACTGAACATTGAAGTGGCCTCGCTCTCAAACGAAGAATGGATTGCGATTCGGAAGAAAATGTCGAGCAGCATGATCCACACACTTACAAAAGCCATCAACAAAGGCATACTGCACCCCGATTTCGATGAAGATATTGGTGTCCCCGCTCTCAACTGGCCCAACGACGTGAGGGACGCCTGGACTCATAAGGAATGGTGGGGAGACGAGGAGGCCAGGCTGCCGCCACCACCGCCACAAACATCCGACGTTGCAAGTTCGTCTTGCACCGCCAGCGTTCATGACCGTCATGACGGAAGCCCCTCTTCATCCATGTCCCGTCCAGCTTCACCTCTCTCGGTTCATTTACCTCCAGATCGCCTGTGCTCCCCGCGTCTGATCTCTACCCCGCCATCGATACCACCACCATCGCAACCAAGGAAGCAGCCGCCTCCACAACTCAGCACCGTCATCTCTGCTGCAAAACACCTTCGCCAAGCTACTGCCCAACACCTCTCATCCATCATTGCCGAAGGCGATGCATGGCAGGCCACGCTCCCAACGCTCCCCTCAGCCGTCCTCGGCCCGTCCTGTCGAGCTCGCCAGTCTGCTCTTCGCGCCATCCTTGACATCGACCTCTTCATGGACGAGCTGCTTCCGCTCTCTCGACCGCTCCCTCGACCGGACAAGACGGTGGACTCAGGCCCTTTTCCTCCGTTGGTCCCTGGGTTATTGGACCTCAAGATGACGAGACACATGGCCCGGGTCTCGAGAGACGGTGCCGCCCAGGATCTCCGTGTTGCGTTTGAGGCTGCGTCTAGATGCTCCAAGGCGGGAGGGATGACTAGGGCCTGGGCCAGGATGGGTCTGACCGACGGCTTCAGCGGCCTGCGTGTTGATGATTGCAGCTGATGGTCGACCGCGTTTGTCACGACAGAATGACTCTTACGAAGGATAGTGTCATGACGATAATGACGATAATGACGATGATGATGATGATGATGATGATGATGTTGAACCAGATGCCTTTTGCAAGCAATACAATAGAGTCAGTCTAGGGATCATTGTGAACCACGTACTTGTGCAAAAGCCCACCATCTCCTACCTTGCGCATCACCCCTGCCGCTGACCCTGCTGCTCCATCTCCTCCTCCTCCTCCTCCTCCTCCTCGCCAATCTTGTTATGTCGCGACTTTGCATGAGGTTGCCGGCGATACCAGTCCAGAAACACCTGTCTTCCTGTCGCGTCGAGCCTGGCACCGCCCTCCCGCCGTCTGCCTCCGAGTTGCGCCCTCACATGGGTCAAGTTCTGCAAATGCAACAAGATATGCGCACTCTGTTCCTTGAGCTGCCTTGCTCGGCTTTCCGCTTTTCCTGCAGCCGCCCCTGTCTGCTGCTGCGACAGGTGCTTGCGTATGGGTAGAGATGCGTCTCCATTCCCGTCATCATCCCCCTTCCCGCCGTCATCTCTGCTCCCGTCGTGCCTGTTGTTGTTGTTATTGTTCTTGTGGATTCGGACGTCACGCTTGTCGCTTCTGCCGCCAGCGCTGGCCCCGGGACAGCTTTCCGATATCCATGTTCTTCTGGGCCGCTGGACCAGGGGTTTGTCGTGCTTGGGCTGACTGGCTGGCCGGGAACCCGTCTCACCGGCAGCCGAAGCAAGGTCGCTGCCGGCCGCCGTGATGGTCTCCCTGTCGACGACGACGACGACGGGATGCGCTTCCTCGTCGTTTGCCGGCAGCGCCTCGACCGATGCACCCGCGTCGTCGGGATGCTGCTGCTCCTTGTCGTATTCCTGCCGCCACTTCTTGATGTTGTTCTTGAGCCACGTCACAAAGACGCCCTTTTTGTCGGCCCATGACTTGAGCCACTCCTCTTCGTCCTCCTCACCATCGTCGCGCCAGCCAAGATGGTTCAAGACGACGTGTCCCGGGTCGCATTTCTGAATGAGATGATCCACGCCTGGGTGCTGCTCGCTGTTGGTTCCAATGCGGCTGGTGAATCGCCAGACCTGCCGGGCACGTATCTTGCGATCCACCTTGGAGGACGCGGCGCTCTCCATGGATAGTTGATGTTCTTTGTAGCGTTTGGCTAGCTGATCAATGCTACCTCGAGGCACACAAATGTTAGCCAACGCCATCAAGGCGATCCGGATGGACGGACGGACGGTGTGATAGGCTGCTACTCACTGAGTTCGGCCGTCACGACTCTTGTCGTGATCGTCATAGGGCCTGGGCGCGGTGATGCCTGGACTCGGGGTCTCGGAAAGGTCGGCTGGATATTCATGGGAGGGAGGAAATGGAACCAAGGAAGATGCAGTGTGCTAACTACTTGCTTGTGGCAGCAGAAGCCTGCGTGTTTTATACAACATGGGTGCTAATGTTAAGGACGGGCAGCCAACCAGCCATCTTGTTTCGCATCACAAGAGAGTTCTGAGTCTGAAAATGCCCTCCTCATCTTACATCTTGGGTCCGTATTCATAAATCACGGGCCCTTGTGACAGATAAATGAGTGAGACCAGTCGTCACACCCATACTAGCCAACCATCCAGCCAAAGACAACCAGGTTTAAGACAACAACAACAATAACAATAACAACGTCCTCCTGCAGCCACCCTCGCCAACCCTTACCACATCATAAATCACCAAGTAATAGTTGGCCCCCCTGGTAAACAAGAGACAAATGATATGACCCCCCTTTGTGCTCCTGTCACAACTCCCATCCTCTCTCCCTCCACATCTGGCCACACAGGCCCTCAATGGCATCTATGGCGGTCCGCAGCTTGTTCAGTCTCGGCTGGATGTGCTCTAGGAAGTACGTCCGTGCTTCATCATCAATCAGCATGTCTGTGACAAACCAACTCGCACGATCCGCAAGCTCTGCCTTGGCCAGCTCTTGGCCTGCACTGCTGCTACCGCCCCCTCTCCACAAAGACTGGTCAAGCATCTCCCTGTTTTCCCGGCCGGCCTTCACGACAGCCTTGATGACGGCCTGGTGGTTCTTGGAGCCTATGCGGGCCGCGTCTCTGGGTGGATGAAAAGGTGCTGCACGTGCGTCTAGATGGAAGAAGTCGAATGGCGTTGGGGCACTGGACGGCCGGTCCGGCTCCAGTGCGCGGAGTGAGTGGAGTGCCGTACAGATGCGCACCGTTGTTTCTGACGGCGGTGTGTATTGTCGTGACAGCAGTGGTGCACCAATCTCGCTGGGACCTAGATGATACGTGTGGGCATACAGGATGGCCAAGACGAGGACGAAGGTGGCTGTTAGGATCTTCGGGATCAAGTTGCCCAGGTTCAGTTGACGCGGGTTATTAGACGGCATGATGGTTTGGGGATCAATGATTGTTGCCAAAGTAAAGATGAAGTGTTCCGTCTCTGGCCGATGAGTTTGGATTCATATAGAGTCAAGAACAGGGCTCTTCATCTCTATATCAAGTCTTCTCTTACAGATTGAGCTTCCATCCTTGGCCATGGCGTTCCATTCGACGGGTGACTAGGCTTTACTATCGTCATCAAGCCCAATACGCAACACTTTGTGCGTGCTGACGACTCACACACTATCCGGCTAGCGAACACCACCAACATCTCAATGGTTGACACTCCCTACCCTAAGAAAGGCAAGGAGCGGCCTCAAACGAAGGCCCGGGTGCTCTCTGCCCCATGGTGGATTCACGTTCTTTGACCAGATCCGTCATGACAGAAACGAATATCAAAGCGAATGGACCAAGGTGCGGGAGATATATGATTCATCTTAAGGCGCAAGGCAATGTCAGGTGTGATTTCGAAACACCGCATGTCCCCAGACGGTATGTTCTCCAAGTGGCTGTAATAATCTTCTTCCGTCATGAGGCAAGAAGATACCAGGCCGTCATCTGGAAGACATGAGACGGTGGAGGAGAAGAACCTCCTGGGTCCGTGTAGAGTTCTTGTAGCATTAAAGGCAGTTTTGATGGCCGCAGAGTATTTGGCCTGTCGAAATGCCCATGTTTCTTGGGTTTATAAGTGCGTTGAATCCAACCCCTCTCTCTCTCTATCTCTCTCTCTCTCTATCTCTCTCTCTCTCTATCTCTCTCTCTCTCTATCTCTCTCTCTCTCTATCTCTCTCTCTCTCTATCTCTCTCTCTCTCTATCTCTCTCTCTCTCTATCTCTCTCTCTCTCTATCTCTCTCTCTCTCAACCACTCACTCACTTGCACTCAACTACTCCCTTCACGCCATCTCATCTCCCTCCTCAAAGCCAGATTTATAACGACTTGTTCCACGTCCTCCCACCTCCGCATCCTCTTCCACACACGCATCCGCCATGGACGGATCTAGACCAGATGATCAAGCCTACAATGCCGCCTATAGAAAGGCTATAGAGAATAAGAGACGGCGTGAGGCTGACAGACTGCGGCGAGAGCGGCGAGAGCAAGGGCGACGAGAGAAGGGCGCACAAAGTCAGACAACGGGCGGCAAGACCAACAATACTGCACAGGATGGAGGGAACAAACCCGCACAATCACTACAGACGACAGCCAATGTGTTGGCCGGACGCATCATGTTGGGGCTACAAGCCGTGTCATGGGCTGTCGCCGTCTGCGCACGCAAGATGGCCGGCCTTCTGTGGCTCGTCATATCGTCACGCCTTTTCCTTGCCCTCACCGCGGTGACGCTCACTCTGTCGCTCGCTTTCTTGCTCTTCCAGTCTTGGGTGGCATGGTTCACAGAGCTCCCCGTCATCTCTTCTGTTTTATTCTGCGCACGGAGCATCGCCGTCTTCCTTGCCTCGTGGCGCCCGGCTCAAGTCGCCCGTCTACCCGATAACCTCCTTGGCAACAACGCCAACAGCGTCACCATGGCCTTCAACACGTCAGACGTCACGGCGCTGAGGATCTTCCCTCACGGTAGCGACATGGACAAGGGCGTCAGGCAGCTTTCTGCAATTCCCGTTGGAGCAGCAAAGGCCCACCGTGGTGGAGCGCGCCCAAGCTTTCATGTGGCCGTCGTCACACTGGAGGAGGTCCTGGCCGATGCGACACGAGGAAGCCGTGGCAGCCCGTGGCTGTCAATGTCGTCGTCACTGCCGTCGGCCTGGGACGAGTCATGGTCCCGCATCAGATCCGTGGTCGCCAAGATGTGCGCCGAGGAAGCGAGATTTGCCGAGAAGGCTGTTGCAAACGGCCTCTTGGTCTTCCAGCACGCCCACGCCCTGCAGAGGGAGTTAGCCGAGACGCCCGTGTCACACAGCATCGCACTCCGCCAGAAGCGGCTGCAGTCCAGGTGGAAGGTCGCGTTGTGGTTGGAACAGCTCTGGCAGGGACTTAGGCACTGGGCTGAGAGCTGCATGGGTCGCTGGCTCATGGTAGGCGGGGCATCTGCCTGCCAGAACCACCTCCACGACCCAGCCGGGCAGCAGGTTGATCTGCGGCTTGCGACATTTGGCTCTCTAGTAGATTCTGCCCTGAAGACGCTGCCTGACCTCACCGTGTCTCTCGAACTAGGCCCAGCGCTCGAGGAAGACGTCTGTATGATGGGCGCAATGCTCGGGAACGCGGTCGAGATATGCGAGGGCCGTGTGGCGAGGACGCTTGAGGCTGGGAGAGGCCAGAAGCCGTTACTATTGCCTGGGGAGACGAGGGAAGCGGCGGTGCTAACACCCGACATTGATACCATCGGGGCCGCTGCCTACGAGCTGCGGTACTTTGACGTTGTTGGTAGGACCGTGTGTGCTGAGGCGAAGCAGGCTGTTGGCACCTTTACGGCGACGAAGCACTCAGTCGTGTGGCTAGCTAAGGAGCTGCAGGCTATCAAGGCAGCGGCTGTTCGTCTCCGGTCGTATCTCCGCCAGGAGGTATCCGGCGCGTTGGGTGGTGATGACGATGACAAGAATCAAAGAGCGTCCTGGGCGGAGAATGAGCTGAGGGTGCTCCTTGTCCCGAAGCTGATTTACGGCCTGGAGCAAACCTATTTCCGACAAGAAGACTAACCACGAACTTGAGGATCCCCCCCCCCCTCTCGGTAGAAGTTGTATTGCTTTGGTCTGGGCTGGCTGGCTGCGTTGGTTGATGGTCAAGGGCAAGGCTTGTTTGCTAGTATTCAGTTCAAGATAGATAAGATAATTAGATAACAAGGAAGGCTTCCAAAGATGAGTTTTATCTCCAAGATGCCTTCAAGTCCTCCACGTCCTCTGCCTCCTCTGCCCCTTGTGCTTTCTCCTTCTCTTTCTCTTTCCTCGTCAATCACCTCTTCCCATATGGTATCGTGTCTGGCTCCAGCCTGTCTCTTGCTCGCGGGGGTCCTCTCGATTGCTTCGTGTGATGGCGGTCGTGACGCTCGGTGACTGGCGCGCGCGTGGCGGCTATGTTTCTCCAGCAGTGGACTGGACACTATGACGGCGGTCAGCGTTTGGAAGCGACAGAGAAAGGCAAGAGCTACGATGAAAGAAGGGGAATGCACTTACTGTCAAACTGATTGCGTGTAGTTGAGTACTTTCCCTCTTTTTCTTGCAGAAACTTTGGTACTCGGGGGTCGCTAATGCTGCTCAGTAACCAGCTATCCTCGAAGGAGTCCGTCTCTCTCGCTTCTTGGGCCCTACGTCTGCGACGCCTCGTCTCGTTAGTCAGGATGGAAACTTGAAGGCGTGAAGAGGGAGACAAGGGGAGAAAGAGAGAGAGAACTAGAGAGAGAGAGGGACGGTTCCGGTGAGAGTCTCGGTGTTTATTTACTCAGAGGAGGACCTGGGCTCAAGTGCCGGTGGTGGGAGATGAGTCGGACGGCTTCCGTCTGTCGTTGAGGTGATTCGATTGACTGGTTGGGTCTGGGTGCATCTCGGACCATGACATGGACGAAGAGATGGCAACGCCTACAGGTCAATGGAACTGGAAAGAACAGAACCTTAAGCACTGCGTAGGGTGCCCATAGGATTGCGGATTGTCTATTTCTTGGGTTTAATTTTCTTGTGACGTCGCCACCTCTTCTGTTGTTGTTGCCTGGCCAGGGCAGGCAGGTGCGTCTGGCACTCCGTGTCTCTTGCGAACCTTCCCGCCTCAGGCCATTCATTGCCCGCACACCACTCCTTGTTCTCCTTGTTCTGGTCTGTACCCTCTCAAACCCTTCAGAGTCGAGTCGCATGAATCAAACTCTTTACGGCCATCGACAAGAGAAATGCCCCAAACCAGAAGCAAGACACCACGCATTACAGACGACACGGAGCTCGACCAAGCCTTGGCTCTCTTCGTCCACACCGCGAGAAGCTCCATCTGCGAAGCCTGGAACAAGCTCACCCAAGCCTACATCAAGGCCTACGACGCGCGCAGGGATACGCTGTCCCCGTTCCCCGAGTGGATTGAGCGCTGTACCTCGGACGCCAGCCTGGTCCGCTTCGCGGTCGAGTCCACATACAAGGCGCACTGGGAAAAGCAGGTCAAGACAAATCGGAACGAGGCTGCCTACAGGACTCGCGCCGCTTCCCAGCTCGGGTTGAAGAGCCCTTTCGACCTCTATCTCTGGTACGGTCCTGTCACAGTGGCCTCACGCAACTGCTGGCAAGACATTCCCAAGGGCGTGACCAAACACCAGCTGCACAACCGTCTACTGGCGCAACGGGCCGAATCGGACAGCGGCGAGTGTGAGCTACAAACGCCCTTCACTGTGAAGGAGTTCACCGCGGCCAAAAGATCTCGTCAGTATTTCCTCTTCTCTTATCCCAGCTGATTGTGTTTGCCTCGGGACGATGTTCTGACGCAGCAAAGTACAGCCAGATTCTCGCAGACAGGCTCTCGCGTCAATCCAAACGATCCAGGCCACATCACACGGCACCGTCTCAGGTGGCAAGGAGTCTGCCACAACCGTCACGGGCGTCAATAAATTCCACAAGCAACGCCTTCCGATGACCAAGAATCCTCGAGAAAACCTCGCAGCCTCTCAAACAATCCCTCCGAGAGCCGTCATTCCGAGAGCCGTCATTTCGAGAGCCATCGCTTCCTGTCGTCAGAGTCCAGCTAGGCCGTCTTCGACGACTCACGCACAGGTGACCGCCACCGTGGTTTCGGGTGCTTCAGAGAAGCAGGCTGTCAGCAAAAACGTCGTCCAGGGGGCAGGCAGCGAACGCCAAGACGACACCGAAGACACCCCAATAGACATGGCCAACGACGGCGCAAGCGTCTATGACGATAGCGGCATTGACATGTCCAACCCTGACGGCGAACTGGCCACAATAAGTGACAAAGATTGCCACAACAGGTCCGACAACATGGCGACCGCCGACAAACGCAGCCAATCGGAACCTGGGCCGGCGCAGACGAATCTGGTCTTGCTGAGAGACGCACTCGGAACCGACCATATTCAGCAAATACTGGAAAACATCAAAACACAAGGCGTCTACCAATCCGTCGCCAAGGACCAGCGAGAACAAGCGCAGAATCGCGAGACGGTGCTCAGTAAGGAGTACGATGAGACGTCGGGAGCTCGCAAGCAGGCGCTGAGGGATCGGGCCGGGGACCTCGACGACCCGGAGGCGTGGGGCCAGAGCGCCATGGAGGAAACAGACACGGCTTTCAAAGAAAGAATGGAGACAATCGAGCGTGGCATCCTGGAGACTACCAGGAAGAGGCGGCTGGCGGACAGGGGCCTGGAAGCCGATAGTGCCAAACGAGCGAGACTCGACAGGGCGGCGCAAGACGTCGTCGAGGCAATGGCGAAGTTGAAGAAAGTCGCGGAGGAGGAGATGCCCAGTCTGGCCGGTCGGAAGTAATGAGCATCTTGCCCGATGTTGTGCGCGGCTCAAGAAGACCGACGACTACTATGTAGTCTTGTGAGCGTTGGATTGTTACTGGACATAAATAGTAAGGCGGCAGGCATAGTGTAGTGATGGCGTCAAGTTGAGCATCACAGGTTGTGACGGTTTGCTTATCCGAGAAGAGCAGTAATTGTATATACTCGTAAGTGCACACATAACAGCCACTTTGGGTGAGCTCCGTCTCTGTTAATGACGATGCTTGGTGACACACAGACGTGCTTGCGCGCAGTTGGGTACCTTGGGCTGGCCTTGCCTTGTTCAGCAGCCCAAGTGGGGTGGGAGCCCATGGGGAACGCAGGGAGTGGCTACGTTCCCCACGGCGAAACCTCGGGTCGGTAAATACTCGGACCTGTTGCAATTGCAACAGGTTTCTGCCGCCCGGCCCCAGATCAGCCACTGGATCGAAGAGGTCTTGCCGCCCTTTTCAAAACAACAGGGCCTGTGCGGTGGCAAGAAATGAGAGGCTTTCAGGCATCAGTGGCTTAGAAATATGCCAACAAGGACCCCAACAACAACAACAATAACAAACATGATGTTTCTCTTTCCAGTGTTATCCCTAACAAACGACAATCACACAAAAGCAAACTCACGTTAGCCGCCAAGCGAAGCTGTTTGAGACTTTACAAAATAACAATGTCAATATTAAAACCTGGATTCTCGCTCAAGTCGGCCAACTCACAGCCATGCACACGAATGCTTATCTTCCTAGGCAGACACTGGACAGTCGTCCAGAAGGCTGCAGATACATGACATACAACAAAAGGCACCATGAAAGACAGAGAGATTAATGGGCACCACTGAATAACAAGTGAGGAACATGAAGAAGTAACTCTTAGCTCTGGTCATGAAGCTAAAGAACTACTTGTCTTAATCCACCTCTGGATGTGGACGGATTGTAACCTGGTTGAGAAAACGACTTGGCTCCTCTGAGATCTCCTTCTCAAAGCCCTGATATATGTCCGGACTCTTGCCGGGTGAGTGACGCAGAATAAACGCATTGGACCTCTCCCGGACTGATACTAAGATTTTCCTCTCTTCTTCTTTCACAGACCCCAGAACCTTGTGGCCCCTTGGGCCATGATTTCTATTGCTCTCATACTCTTCGAATCTCTACTTTGAGAATCATTCCCTTAACAGGCGGGCCTCCAATTGTCACACAGCAAGAAGCAGAACAAGAGCAGTAACACCAGAACATGAGCAATCAACATCGCCCACCACTATCTCGGCCCAAAGCGCAGCAACAGAAAGAGTCTAAAGCCTCAGGAGAAACAAGGACCATAGCAGTCGGTGCAATATCAAGAGTCTTCTTCTCGCTCCCGCTCTGATGCTGCTGCTGCCGCGCTTACGCCACCCCATACACAATATTGCCGATGGGAAGGAAATCCACCACTTCTGCCTCTACTGCCAACATGACCTTCTTGAATTGACTTCGTGTTGCAAATATAGGCACGGCCGTCACTTGTGCAGTTTGGCGGTCCTCCCCCCCCCCCCCATCAGCGGACGTATTGTATTTTATAAGGGTTGCGTGAGGCTTCTACTAACGCTAAGGCATAGGATTGTCCGCCTTAGCGAGATAGCTTAACGCGGCGATGAAACATGCGTTTGGCTAAACAAGATGGCCGTTTGGGGCCCCAATAGCACGGTGTCCCTGCGCAGTATGGCTGTGTTTTGATGGATGCAGCAGCTCCGGTTACTAACTACACTGGGGCCAGGTCATTCTCGTAAACCAGGACTGGGCCTTACTTGAAGGGACTGAAATGAGAGAAGCCCATCAAGTTGCTTAACTAAGTGATGCAAGAGTACAAACGCGCCAAACCAGGAGCAGAGGCGGAAGCTGTGCTGTTAGTAGAGTTAGGAATGTCAAGCTATTGCTTTAGGTTGTAAACAAGCTGATATGAGAAACCATCAGGCAGCGCGGTGTGAGAGTTAGACAGAGATGGGTGTTTTCTAGGCCTTGGCTTAATGTGAGAGTATTAAGCTTAAGCCCTATCGTATTATAATAAGATAATGGTGAGATGACAATAAGATGATGGCAAGATGATAGTGAGATGATAGTGAGATGATAGTGAGATGATAGTGAGATGATAGAGAGATGATGATTGATAAGAACGACAATAATTCTGTAACTAGAGTGCTAATGCCCGCTATAGGCACAGCACGCTTCTAACCATGTATGATAATGTGTGCAGCTAGGAAGGACAAGTCGTGAATGGCTGCATTATTCATATACTTCATCCAGACCTTAACTTCGTGCTTGAGAACAGTGAGCTTGATGACGTTGAGCGGGGATGAGCGGTGGCTATTTTTGTCGTGTCAGATATAACCCTATTCCATCCTCTGCTACGCTAGATCACAGGGACATCCACCTATGGCCGGCTTCGAAGGCACCTAGATGCCGCTGGAAATGTCTATTCAGCCAACGAGCGAGTGCATGAGCTGCTGAAGCTGGGGCTAGCCTTCTGAAGAACGGGCTCGAGATAGTCTGTGTCCATCTCGGCAATACACGAGATGCTGTTAAAGATGGGATTCGTCCGCCGTCCGTTCTGAACCCGGCTGCGCGCTGCCCTTGACACTCGTACGTTGAGATCATCTTCAGCGCCTTAGAGACATCGCCGAAGGCCCTGCCTGGTTCTGGGCGTTCATGACCTGACGGTACTGGCCTGCTGCAAGGTGTGTGCAGGCCGTAATCAGCGACAAGAGTAAGTGACTAAATCGTACAAGCCCTAAGAAAGCTCAGACATTGGCGAGTGAGGGCAATGACATCATCTTCTGTGACAAGTTTGTCATCTATAACATCATTATCTTCTTTAAGAAACGGGTGTTTATCGTCAGGGAATAGCGGCTTGCTGCTTTCCACGTTCAAGGGTGGGTTGTATAGGCTGCTGAAGCGGTACTCGGAGTAGCGAGCAGCCATGTCGCCAAGATAGGCTATCCCTTTGAGTGCCACCGGACCTCACATAACCCAAAAGCGGGTCTCTGCAAGTAATTACTAACAGCCATTGGATACTTAGCCTGGATTGCTGTAGTCTTATTGGTCTGAGTTATGTGAGGTCCAGTGGCACTCAAAGGGATAGCCAACAGCGGATAAGAGATTTGTTGCAGAGGCACTTTTCAGGTAGGAAAGAGCATAGGAAAATGGCTTAACTTTCTACATATAGGACTGTGTGGTCTGACTTGTAGGAATATCTTCCTATATATAGTTCACGTAGAGTGGGACGTGTGGGAGACCGCAATAACGGTTCTTTCAGGTGGAGGCCGGGGTAGCCGTTCTCCCGGGCCCGCAATGCTCCGCGATACCGAGCATCACGGAGGCATCGCGACAAGATTGAAGACCAAGGAGGGAGAAGGGCATGCTCAGGATTGACATCACATGCAGAGTGCCAAACTGCAGGTTAAATCAAGCATGTAGGAGGCTTGTGTTGGTTACCTGGAACGTCTGGAGACAACGGGCCTAACGGGGGCGATGCATAAAGCAAACAGGAGGTATGGCCTACTGTAAATCATGATGAATTATTAGGGACAAGTAGCGAGCGCACGTCTCTAAAGACAACATGGGCAGCAGCCTGCGCTGGTTTGGTCCGTCGTCTTCACAATAAAGCCAGCATATGCGAGCAGCAGACATGAGCTTTTGCAAGGGTCGTGTAAAGAATGCATCAACAAAACGCTGAGAGCTCAAGCCATGCCACATGCGATGGGCGTGACGGAAACCCTCTTGGAGTGCGTGGAATACTACGCTGATGTCATCGTCGCGGTCCGGGTTGGCCAATAGGATGACGAGTAGACGAATGGGGTTAAGACACCACGCGGTTGTGGCAGATTGCTGTCGCGGAGGCGAAGACGAGTACGTTGACGAGGACGTTGACGGGGACGTTGACGGGGACGTTGACAAGGACGTTGACGAGGAGGGTATCAATAAGGACGAAGGTGTGGTGGTCAGATGGAGGACAGTGGGGATCTTGTGGATATAAGAGGCGGTGACGGCGTTCTGCGGGTGAGAGGGGTGCTGAGTCTAACGAGACCGATGTGAACTGAAGACCTGAGTTGGGCCAGCTAACAGCATCCATCCTTTGGTGTTGCGGTGAGACTTTGCCGCAGTTGACATATCAGATGCGGCAGCTTGTAGAAAGACAGCATCTCGGAGTTTGAAGTGATAGTATTGTGTAGTGGGCCAGTCGAGATTCCATTTGCTCTTGCTAACAACGCAGGTCGATGTCCATGTTAGCAGCCTCATCATCTTCTTCAAGGTGGGCTGTCTCATAACACTCGAGTGCGTGGCTAATGTGCCAAAAGGAACGCCAGAAAGAACAGTACTGCGGAGGGGTCACTCGCAGGATTCCTCAACCTCAGAGCTGCTTCTTCTGTTAGAAGATGGCGCAGAGGGGGGCTTCTTACCACCTTGCCTCGTCTTTTGTCTTGGCCATAAACGTCGTAGGCTCTTTAGGCTGCCGTCGATGTATTCCCTTCGCTGATATGTTTGCGCACTATCTATCCAAGTCTGCCTTGTTGTATGTGTCCCAAATCGTCCTAATGAATGCAGGAATCTCATCAGAGAATGGATGACATAAACAATAGTACGCTTCAAGACAACCTCCCTTTGAACAAGCCTGTCCCTATGTAATACGGTCACCAGGGAAGCAGTGGGGTGTCCGTGGACTAGGGGACTTGGCTTGATAGCATCATGGTGGCAGGCCGCGAGACCTCTGAACGCAGGTTGTACGGAGTTGCCGGTGATGGTCTAGAGGCCGATGACCTGAAGAAGTCGTCGGCGCGGCGCGGGTGGGACAGGGTCGTCTACCTCGTCGTCCCGAGTGTATGGAAGTCGATTGGGTAGTCTCGCTTTGGAAACTGGCCAAGCATAGAGGGTATCTCGGTGACTGTGTAAGATTCCAGACACGAGACGTTGTCGCGTCGTGTGAAGTAATGCGTCGGAGGACGGATTGGCCTCGTCACGTGTGAAGTAATACGTCGGGGGGACGCATTGTCTTGACGGACGTCGATAGCCTCGAAGAGTTGTTGCAAGTGGGAGGAAGAAGAAGGCGGAAAATGGCTTCGCTGGAACATCTCGCAGCCCCACTATTGTCAAGTCACCGATACCTAGGTACTTCCACTACGGAGTATCATGTCAGTCTCTCTCTCTCTCTTTCTGCTCCACCTTGCTGCTCCTGCTGCCGCCGCATGCACGCACGCATAGTCATCGTACACCGCACCGTTGACTGTGGACCGGCCATGTATTGCATGCATGCATGTCAACGTACATCGTAGGTAGGGTCTCTAGTCTAGCAGTCATCCCTGGATTTCCGTATTCGGCCTCCATTTGCGTTGTAATTGGTCGCGTGCTTTGCATGCATGACTCGCTCGACGTACGTCTTGAATGTCGGTCTTATTTGGACGACACAATGTGTGCACGCAGATGCAGATGGATGTCGCCTCAGGCAGCGTCTCTCCCGTCTTGGCCTTACGTACAATATAGTGTCTGTACAGGTACAGTATGTCCTCACCCACCATACGTACCTAGGTATTTCTTTTCCCTTCCTTTCAAACCCTCAGGCCCGCCATTCTCGGACTGCCACCCACCCTCCTCACCACACACACTCTCCATCCTCGTCTGCCTCAACAATCACCAGTCGCATCCTGAGAGCAACACGCTCAACGTCAGAGGTTTGGTTCATTTCAGCCTTCCTCCCCCCACCCGCGCTTTCGCTTCCTTGCTTGTACTAACCAGAATGCCAACGTTCAGATGCCCCTCCCCAATCATACTCCGCCTCCGCTATTGCACGCGTCCGCAAACCACACGACCATCATCAAGGCCCCCTCGATTTTTACGCAACCAGGACTTCTCGACCACACCTATGTATTGTTTGCCTCGGCTAGTTCAAAACACACCTTTAGCCTTCCCCCTGCGAATCGCTCCCAACCATGTGCCATAGCCACTCATGCCGCCGCCACACCATCATTCTCCATGTCGTCCACCATACAACACAGCCTTGATCAACTTTTGTGACATTGAGCCAAACTTGCACGACAAGCGCAAGGTTACGACCAACGATCCTAAAGCGCTTGCTTGTCGTTGGAGCCCTTTTTTTCCATCCGTCTGGGCACCACACCTCCCGCTTCCAACAATGCTTCGGCTCGGCTGTCATGGTCACGGCCAACTCCACCCCAAGCCGCTGTAGCTGTACGTCAATGGGGACATGGTGTGACTGTAGCTGCAACGCGCCAAGCCAGCTGAAGAAGGCTATTGTGTCGTGATGGGTAAGAAGCGCACCGACTCTGTTGACCGCCGAGAGTCGCTTATAGAGGTTAACAATAGACGGTGAGCTAGGTAGCTCTGGCTAGAGCCTGTAATCCTCATTGTCGGCCGTGCCATTGACAGTAAACTCGGTCTTTTTGCCGGTGTTACGTTGAATGCTCTATCGACGCCCTGTCCCCGTAGTCGTGGTGGCGCGGCCGTCCCCGTTATTGTCGCTGTAGCTGTCGCCACCGGGAAAAGACTTGGCCGTCGCCAGATACCGTTTACCGTTATGCTCCTCTAGTTGACTGGACAAGTTGTGTTTGCCACTCCCCTCCTCCACCTCAGCCGTTCCCCACGCCTGCAAACCGCGGCCAAAAGGGGCTCAGCTCAGCACCTTGTGGTAGGCCAGTTGACCAGGTTCTTTCTTCTCCAGTACCTACATACCTTAGCATTGCTAGCAGCAAACCCCTCTATGCATACACGTGCAGAAGGCGTGGTGTCAATTAATCCTGACACCCTGATCAATCGCCCCAGCTGCGCGGCTTTTCTGCGCGCACTAGCTACACCACCAGCCACGCGACTTGAGCTGCAAACCAGTCAATCAATCCAATGCAAACGCATCATCGTCATTGTTACCCCTGTCACACACAGTCCTTGTGGCACCACCAACCAAATTCACTTTTCACCAGCTTGCTTGCCATTTTCCACTTTTGCATTTCCTCACGTCTCGTCAGGTATTAGCAAGTCAATAATTAAACCCTATCTACTTCATCTATCTACCCAAATGGTCCTTAAAAGATGACTGTCCTGGGATTCATTATCTTTTTTCTGACTGTGTGTAGCAGCTGCACGAAGGTAGTGAGTGTGGTATTGGCGTTGCCCTCATCCCATTCCATCCCATTCCATCCCATCGTTTCCGCGATGCCAGGACCATATTGATTGTCGGAATAAAAAAAGCCAAAAGACAACATCCCAAATAGGGAGCACATACGAGTTTGACTCTCAACCATGTTTAACTGGACGGCGCCACCAGAACAGGTACACACACACCACACGTTCAATGCGCACAGGGGGAAGCTATCACCACACTATGTGAATGCCCCAGCCCCACTCCAGGCTCCGCTACAACAACACTACCTGAGGTACCTAGGTGACCCCTACCATGAATACAGGTACCAGCCAGCCAGCCAGCCCTGCCAGCCTTTCAGGCCCTCCAGTTAGTTACCATCAGCAACTCCATTGCTGATACAACTTACTTGCAGGGGTAAGTATCTTGCTTAAACCCGTTACATGCCGCAAAGCATTCAATACCTACTGCCCTTAATTAAACACCAACAAGAACAAACAGCGCATCTATCTTGATCCCAACAGCACTTCATCCTTCTCTTCCTCACTTCTATACAGCTTCCCGCCGACCATGGTAGATCAACAGTATGTCAACAAGGAGAAACACATTCTTCTGCCTCTTGTCTCCTAGTTCTATTGCTTTCTATCTTCTTTCACTTCTCCCTTTCTTTTCCTTTATCGTCGTCTTTTTACCCTTGTCCTCATCCAGAAACTGACCTCAGATTGCTTGCAGAAAATCAACTCCCTTTGCCACTTGACCCAACTGCCCCCCTCCTACACCTCGCTATATCACTTTCACTCTATGTGTAGGTGTTACTTGTGCCCGCTGTCGTCCGTCTCCTTCATGTCCATGACACGACACAAGCCGTGGTGCATAGAACGCCTGTCTGCACCACACTGCTAGCGCCTGTGGTAGGCCTAGTATTGTTGCTCTGCCTAGGTACGCTGGAGATCTAACAACCAACAGACCAACCTATCAACGCATCCAACATCAAACCCGTCCAAGACGTGACGTGCGCATGCCGCCCCAACCCCCTCTTTAGCATCTGATCGCGGTTCTCTTCCTCCAGCCTTCATCGTCGTCATCCATGTCAACATCGCCATAATCCCCAAGCAACTCCATATCACAAAGTCAAAAACAAAAAGAGACCAACCACCCTGACCCTGCTGTCGTACCAACAACCTCACCTTCTTTCTCTACTCTGCTTCCAGTGCCCCGCGCTCTCTCATTTGGTTTGCCAACAACCCAACCAGTCCCACTACTAACGTCTTCCCTCCATCCATCTCAGTCAACAAATCCATTGCCTGCTGCTTCTACGCCACCAAGCTGTCACTTAGCCAACTCTATTGCCATCGCTCAGGAGCTTATCACTCCTCCCGCAAGATCCAGTCCAACAACCCTGACAAGCCATGTCCCCACTCACGTAGAGCTCATAACATCTAATCTTCTGCTACTATTTAGTTCAGCTCATGCTCTCTTTTCTCTCTCTTACACAGCCTATACCCATCATACCTTGGACAGGCCCCATCATCTGTTAGCCCCCAGCACGCCTATATACCTGTGCACAGCAGCCCTTCCATCTTAATATCCATGTCACTTGCCAAGGCAAACTCAAAACCAGCAATCCCTCCTCCTCTTCAGCCAACGCCTCCCACGCGCACTTCTCCTTAGTGTCAGCGCCCTTGCCTGTCGCCACGTAGATGTAGGAGTTTCTTTACCTAGGCAGGCAGCTTTCTCTTTGCTAGGCAGTCTTTGGTGCAGTGCCCGTCACTCAGCACACTCCACACACGCCACCACGCCAGACCAGCGCAAAGGGGAGCCTAGTGTGCTCCTAAAAGTGGGTGGCCACGTGGAACTCCTGCCTGTTGCTAAGGGAAAACGAATAGTGGGGCACGTAAATGCCAAAGGCCTGTAAACAGCGTTTACTAGGACTATAAACGCCGTTTACCAGGACTGTAAACGCTGTTTACATGAGCTAGAGGCAA